GGACCCGTCGAGGGCCAAGACTGCCACAAGGGAAACGACCAGCACCCTGAAGGCCTGGCTGCAGGAGCACCAGAAGAACCCCTACCCCACCAAAGGAGAAAAAATCATGCTCGCTATCATCACACGGATGACACTCACACAGGTGTGTGTAATGCATTGCAGAGCATTATTTCACTAAACTACTAGTTGCATTAGGTGGATTCATGTTGGGATGGTGTATTAATTTTGTCTTTATAAATAATATAATGACTATAACGGTCTAGACCTGTTCTTTTTGTAAAGTGTCTTTAGATAACATCTGTTGTGAATTACAAACAAAGATTGAATGATTACTTAATATGCTAATCAGGTTGTGTGCACGACACTAATATATTGTTGAAATTTACAATATTTACTTTGTGCATTCCTCTTTTGTGGAACTTTATTTTATTTTATTTTTTACAATATATAAATACATTATGGTTTCTTTCTTAAGGTGTCCACGTGGTTTGCGAACGCCCGCAGACGCCTGAAAAAGGAGAACAAGGTAACCTGGGGGCGAAGCGCCGAGGACCGGGACGGCCGAATCTTCAGCAGCGACAACGAAGATGATAATGGCAAGAACGGCAGCGACGACGAGGAGGAAGATGAGGAAATTGATTTAGAAACTGTTGATATCGAGAGACCCGACGAGCAGCGAGCTGGGGATCAGGACTCCGTGAAGGGAGAGGGGGAGGCAGGTCTGGCAGTAAGAGAGCAGGCCGCGGAGCCGAAGAGCTCTGACAGTAGCAGGACGCTTTCTGTTGAGGGCCTGAGAGGAGTGGAGGCGGCTATTTCTTTACACAGATCACCCGTTGTCAAACTCGCAGTGGATCATTCTCCAAACAGACAGGAGTGCCAGAGACCACCGCAGAGCAAACCCAAAATCTGGTCCCTGGCTGAGACCGCCACGGCTCCCGACAGCTCTCATAAACCCTCACCCCCAGTTCATACGCACCACCCGGCTTTGGCCTCCGCTGGACATCCGGCCTTACTCCCGGGTCATGGGATATATACATGCCAGATCGGCAAGCTGCATAATTGGGCCAACGCGGCTTTTCTCAATGCCAACTCTCTTTTGAACATGAGGTCCCTCCTCGGTGGGGCGCCGGCCGGACACCTGCCTCTCCACGGCACAGTACCGGTTGCGCGTCATGACGCACGACAAGCGGCGGCGGGCCCCGGAACATCGGGAACAGAAGACGACAGTGATGTCGAGTCTTCTGGAAGCTTCAGTCCAAAAATAGATGGTATGAACTGAAATTTTTGTTGTACAACATGATACAATTTATTTAATTAACAGAGCAGGCCTCAGGATGAGATCCAACATTTTATATTATTCTATAGGAAAATACAAGTTAAGAAAATACAAGGGACATTTGGCAGGTTTTACAACATGTATTCATTGGCTTTATTTGTCGTTTAACAGAAGAAGAGAGCGACCACAGACCAGACTCCCTGAAGTCCTCATTCCAGCTGATCACTGACAGGTAACCTCATGAATTTAAAATCAATTTGGCGTCATGACATTATTAACCTCAATTTCTTTCCGTGCGTCTTCGGCTAAATGAACCGTAAAGCCGAGGTAAACACTGTTACACCTGACTGGGTGGGATGCAGAACTCAGCACATAAATCATGTGATTGAGTCTCCACTTTAACGCATCGTCGGGCAGCAGTCTAATATATCCTGCGGGCCCCTTAACACCGCTGAGTTATCGCCACCTATGTCATTTAAATAAACTGCCGCCGTTTATTCACGCCCTTCCAATGAATGCAGCTAATGTATGTCAAAGAAAACGCTGATAGCATCGTCAATGAAGTGGAGGATGAAAAGACATAAAACAGTGTGCCTATAGTTCCTTCACAATTTGCATGAATGAAGTTTAATATTGTTTCGAACACAGTCTCTTTGAGTAAAAACAGCTGGGCTAAACGAAGGGAATTATTTTTTAGATATCTGAGAAACACTTTAATTTAGATGGAGAAAAAAGCTGAAATTAGAAGCATCAACCAATATTTTTCCTCCCTTGATTTGAGGGAATTTATCCCCAATATATATATATATATATATATATATATATTATTTTTTTAAATCTCTGACCTAAATGTTTTCTATTTGTTTCTACTTCAGACCTCACCATGGGACAGCATCCCAACGAGTTCTAACAACAACATCCTGAGAAGACATTGAAAGAAAAAGAAGAAAGGAATAATTTTATTTAATGGAGAACATTTTAATGAAGGGTATTTTCTGACCGTTCGACCTGGCATAGTATTATTGTTTAGCTTCTCTAAACTAAAGAGATTGTTGTTTTTGTCACATATTTGCTTGTATCTCTCTTTTATGTCCTATGTTTTTCTTCCTCTTTTCTGTTGTGAATGGAAACCTTGAAAATTGTAAATACAGGATATGAATTTGTCTTTAAAGAATATATTTTTTGGAAACTAAATAAATGTCATAATAGTCATTTATTATTGGAGACTGTTTTCCTTGTCATTTATTCAAACTGTCTATAACTGTTAAATTCAAGTAGGGGCTATCGGGCGGAAACTTCGATGTGATTTAAACTTCTGTAAGCCAGAACCCAATTTTCAGTTTTTAATGTTATTTATAATCTGTTTATTTGAAATGTTAGTTGTTATTTGTTATTCTATCTGCTGGAGATCAGATTTAATGTGACATGAACTCTAACATATTCTGGTTTACTTTTCCTCCCCCTAAAGAATTTAATCATGCTGTCAAAATATAAGTCATGATTTATTCTCACTAATTTAATGACAATCACAGGGTACTCGCCTTTTAATTGACCCCTTCACTGTATCTATTCAGTTTCACACTCTTATTGCCAGTTTAACTATGCAGTGTCAGCCCTTTTAAGCAAGAAAAGTCTCGCCCTTCTTGAAATCTGCTCTCTCGCCAAAACTTGGAGACTTATGCCAGCACCTTGGAAGCCACTGCAAACGCTGCGGAAATTGAAATTGAAGATTTCCAGGACCTTATGAACCTGCGTCTGTGCTTCCAGCCCAGGCCTTCCTGCTTTAATGTTGGATTATGCCTTCTCAGTGCCACAACTGCTGCCTCTGAAATATGGATCAGACGCCAGGAAAGGCCAACAGCCAGTATGGGGGCGACAGCTCAGGGGGAGGTTGAGGAGGGTTGTGTGTCACTCTGCGCCATCCTTGACGTTTATGGGCCAAAAGAGAGAGTAGAGAGAGAGAGAATGGTGGGGGGTCTTATGGCTGTTGATGCAATACAGAGTGTGTCTCAAAGCTGTGGTTCTCTATACATGCTTGGAATGGAAGCAGGACGTGCAACACGGATGATCTGGGTAGTCTGGTTTCTTGAGGGGACTTGACATCCTTAAGTCCATACACACAATTTAGATCAACTAGAAAGTTTTACCTTACAGGGTCTGCTGGAAAACTTCAAACGCTTTCCAGCAGATCATTTAAGGTAAAACTTGCTTGGTAAAAGAATGTAAAGTTGCTGCTCACTTTCAATGTTGATAGTTTGACATTCAAAGTATATGTGCTGCAAGGTGGGTATGGCTAAAATGTATGCTAAACTTGTCAGGTTGTCAATTTCTGTTGTGTTAAAGATGTTTTATTTGGATATGGATTTGTATAAGGCCACTTAAATAGTTATTCAGGTTTGTGACAATGTCTCTAATAGCTGCTTTACTTCATAAAATAGCTAAATCACAACCATCAACAATGGAAATGAAAGAGTACTTTAGTCTTGTGTTAATATTAGGCTAATGAATGTGGAATAATGGAAGATTTGACTATGTTTAATAATGTTGTCAATTTTGAACCATTGTGTTACACAAACGCAATCAGAGCCTCATGGTTTGTGGACCTGAAGAAAAACTCAATGCTGCCACCTCACTCTCAGAGAGCAGAATTGTTCTGTATGGTGTAGCCCTGCTGAGGAAAACTAATCTTTTCTGAAAGTCTGCTTCTATATTCCTAAAAGAAAGAAATCTATGGTTGTCTACAGTGAACATTTGTCACTTCAGCTAACAAAAAAACATACCAGTCCAAGAATGTTATTGAGTTTGCATGTAGTAGCTTCCCAATGAAATCCTTTTACCTCTAATCGAGGATATTTTGAATATACTAAGGGTGGCATTTATTGCTGAAAAAAATCTTAAATAAGTGTTCAATCAATGCATTCGAAAACGAACTTGGTGGAGTATTCTGATGTGCATCATCAAGATGCATTGATGACTTGAGACACCCTTCACATGACAATAATATATAGTGCAAACTCAGTGTCTTTCTGACCGTGATGTCCATTTAGATTTCAGCAAATAAAATGGATACATCTGTGTCCCGATCATATCAACAGTCAGGGTTGAATGAACCTTCTCATCTGATCATCTCCCAGAAAAATAATAGTTATATATATTATATCCTACAAGTTGACCTATCAATTTAAGTATCTGACGGGGAAATTGAGTCTTGTGGTGTTTAGATACTGCAGATTTTCTCTTTTCTTAAAGATTAAAGAGTATTTTTTTCATATTCCCATCCATCCATCCGTACCCATACATCTTTTTACAAACAGAGAAAGAGTCAGAAACCAAGAGATAGACTATAAGCTTGAGTTTAAAGAGAGTAAATGAGAGAGAAAGAGGGAGAGAGATGATGCAGTGAGAGCTGTCATTGATGTGAGAACAGCATGGAAGAAAGCCAGACACTTGAGGCCATTTTCACTTCCTCTGCCAACTCTGACAGACTGCCATCCGCACTGCTGAGGAGAATATTAGCCGGTCTTTCTCATATACACACTTCAGTTTTTCTACACTTTATAGCAGCCAGATCACACTACTGTTCTTCCAAGTACCCAAACAATATGTTATTCTTTCAAAGTTGGATAACAGTGAGCTTAGCATGATGGGGCTGAAAATGACATCAAATGACTGTTTAATCAGTTACACAGCGTGCCCAAAACATGCTTTGTTATGAAAGGAGAGGAAAAAGTGAACAGATCCAAAATATGATTAGTGCTTTCTGGCGGATGCTGCAGCAAACTTCTTCAGAGTTTCAAGTTTAAGCTTCATGTTTGTTGTTTGTCACCCAACTGCTCATAAACTTTTCAAAAACTGAACTAGTACAAAAAAGCCATAAGTGAGAAAAGCAACCATCGCTTATACTTCTGAATAACCCTCTTTCTATGGAGTTTATAGAGTTGTTTCAGCCCCTCAAACTCTCAGTGTGAATAGAGTCTTTATTGGTGCTTTGGTATTCTGATACAGACCCTTTGGTGAGCTCTAATCCCTATTAAAGAGGTAGATTATGGAAGGGATTTGTCTTTGATTCTCCTGTCCTACTGCTCTTTTCTGTCAGCATCTCACTCTCTCTCTCTCTCTCTATCTGTCCCCCCTTTCTTTTTCTTTCTGCTTCTCTGTCTGTATTGATGGGATGCTCAGGGAATGAACAATGATTGCCTCCATGTGTCACCCCCCTCACACTCCTGCCCTCAGCCATCCTCCTGTGATTATGGCCACATGTATGAGGGACCCTGGTTGCATCAATAGATTTGTTAAAATCCCCCACTGGATGAGAGAGGCCCAGGCTCCATAGCCTGGCCCTCGTGTGTAGATCTATCCCCTTTCCAAGCACTCTGCATGGGGGTGAGCTCCCTGCCAGTCCCCCCCCCCACACCCCACCATGGTGTCCACCCCTCCTTCCTCTCCCTGCTTCTCCGCCACACAGAGATAATCAGGCTTATGTAAAGACGACTTGCTCTTTTGACAGTCATCAACTCATCAGTGATCCAATCAAGCCCAAATCCACCATTGTTCGATGCTGAAAGTGTCTCAAATCCGTTGTGCAAGAGAGAGGGGCTGTGCTCTTTATCCTGCCAATCACTCCTGACATTCCTGCCCCTGTTGCCATGGCCTGAGGTCAGAGGTTGAGAAAACAGAGAGCATGAGCTGACTTGGGGAGAATGGCGGGCTGCTAGTGTAGGATCTCTCTGTGCAACGGCTCCATTGGTCAGCCAACGTAGGGGGTAAATGTAGACAAGTTAGGACTCTATAGCCCCGCTGAGAGGGCCAGCCGGACAGAAAGAGTGGTGGGCAGGGGAGGAGAAAAGAAAGGCTGATGATTAGGTGGAGAAAGGGCCAAGGGAAGAGCGAAAGGGGCAAGAGAGGTGTGTGTGGAGAAAGCAGAAAAAAGAGGGTTACGGAGGGACAATGTTTGATCACCAAATAGGCTTTACAGAGCTTGACCTTGAGGGGCTTGGGGAAGAAAAGGCCTGACACACAGTTAAAGGCTGTGGAAAAGAAATAATGAACCCGTGAGTTAATATTTCTGGAATTCTTAATGTATTGAAATAATTTAAAGATAGAAATTACAGGAAGCAAAACAAACAAAATTAAAAGGGTAAAATAAAAGGGCTCTACAAAAAAAATATTCAGATGTGTGTGTGTGTGTGTGTGTGTGTGTGTGTGTGTGTGTGTGTGTGTGTGTGTGTGTGTGTTTGTATGTGTGTGTGTGCATGTTGGCTGCCACACTGCAATTTGAAATGGAAATCTACCTCCCAAAGTAATGAAACTATTACATGTCATTGCAGGATAAGCGGGGCACTAGGTTAAATCTGTTGCAATGTTGTCAAAAGAATAATTTTTTGTACCCAATATATACGTAAGTGAGCAAATGTTTAGCCTAGACAAGATATCATAGGGAATTAAAGCCATTCACTGTTCCTCCATGGGGATTAGTGGAATTAAGCATTGATACAAATGCGAAGTATCAAAACTCATGGGTAATTCAACAAGCCCACAATTCTGAGTTTACAAAGTGCTGCTTCTTAGCCTGCGTTTATTGTGTTGCTGCAGCTGCAGCTACCGTACAGACAAATAGCAAACATTGTCAAAGCCTTTTAGAGGAGACAAATTTAATATACAGGGAAAATACACACAACAAATACTATGAAAGGGTGGGAGTGATAAGTCTTCTCTCTTGTTGTCCGCCATTCATGGCAATAATCTGAGGGAAAAAGCAGATTAGGACAGAGGGTGGTTCGTGGTTGAGTGTTCGCATCGCTGCTTCCTTTCAGCCATTTTGAAACAATGTTTATCCATTGGTTTGTTATAGACTAGCAACCTAGTATAGTGTACTGCTGTGAGAGACCTGAGGGGGCTGAGGACTCACTGTGTCTTTGTTCGGCATCTATTCAGACAAACACCAGTGAACGAGAGCTATTTGAAAAAGTTGCTCACATTTAGTTAATATGATGTGTTTGCTATTTCTGTAATTTTCGCTTACTTTTTTAAAAATATCTGTCAAATGTAGCAGGGAATATGTTTAGAAAAGTGGCAGTCTAGGTTCATAAAAAGTTGAAGGAAAACAAAGTCAATGTGGAAATGTAAAAAACTGCTGTTCATTGAGTGTCTGCTGGAGGCTGGATCCAAAAGACCTGGAAGACCAATGCTCACACCAAATGTCTGTTATGACAGAAGAAATATAC